ACGAGGTCTTGGACGGCTTCTGAGCTAAGCTTGGGAGGCAGGTTTTCCATCCAAGATGTAGGCGATGCTTGCGGGATGAGGGCGGCTTGGACTGAGGGCAACGGTTCCGGCGCAGGCGAGGGTTGTGATGCTTGCTGAGATAGGCCATGGGCTACCCGAAGGGCCCGGCGGAGCCTGGCAGCCTGAACGCCATGCAAGGGATCGGCTGCGCCCATTTCTCCCATGTCCTCGTCGGAGAGTCCAGACAATAGGCTGTCGAGGCTGGCTAATTCAGGATTTGCATAAGCCAAATCATCCACCGTCTCAAGGCCTTTGAGGGCCAAGGCTTGTGCTAGGCCATCATGGACGGCATTGTCCTTCAAGAACTTAGCCAGATCAGAGGCTGACGCGTTTGACATGGCTTGTCTCGGAGTCAGAAGCTAACTTGACGAGAGGGCTGCGGCGGCAAACCATGTGCATGCATTCGCTGGAGGGGGCCATGCGTCCTCATGAGTGGCTCTTGCGGAGCGGGTTTTGTCACGCCCACGAGTCCAGAAGCTTCGCGCAGGCTTTTCTGCGGCAGAAAAAAGTGGGATGCGGATCTGTGGGGCTAAAGGCTGCCGCCGATCGCATGGCTCCGCAAGCGGCTTTGTCCGAGGCTTCCGGGCAGGCATGTATACACCCCCAAGGTCCATTCCGGAATAGGCTGAAGGCTGTGGGCACTGTCGGCTCGGTCTCCTTGTTCCGATCTGAGTCAGACGAAGAATCATTTTCCGCCGCGAAGCGCGCGACGAGCAAGGCTTCATGGTCATCGTCGGGTATGGCCGCCAAGGAAGGGGCTGCTGTATCCGGCTCCTCGACCGGAGGCTGAATGTCTTCGTCGGCTTGCTGTAGGGAGGCCTTCTCCAATTCTGCCTCTCTAGAGTAAATGAAGCGGGAAAGGCCTTCTCCGAACGACTCCAAGGGGAACTTGCCGGGCGGAGTGGATCTGAGGACATCGAAAGGCGGTTCCAAGGTAGGTGGCTGTCCTCCTCTGGCTATAGGTCGAGTGGGTCGCCAACCATCTGCACAAGCTTGAGCGATTTGGGCTTGTAGGTCGAGCGCCAGGAGCGTATCATCGCGGCTGTATAGTTGAACGCTGGGGCTCTTGTGGTGGCCTTGATGTTGTCTGGCTTGTTCGGCTGCCCGAACCTGTGCCCCTGCAGACAAGAGGCATACCTTGAGGCTGTGCAGGGTGAAGGCTATGGCTTCCTCCGGGGAGACAGGGGCTGGCTGGGAGGAGTGCTGCCAGGGAACTCCCATGGCAAATCGCATGGCGCTGAGGGCCTGGCTGTATGACATAGGCCTGTGGTAGGCGGAATCCACCGAGCTAGAACCCCCCAGGTTGGAGAGTGTGGGCAATATGAAGTCTGGGTTCAGGGGCTGCGAGTAGGCCTTTTCTGTCCGAATCCAGGCGGCTTGGACTGCACGAAGGAGGGGAAGCACCCATAGGCTCTGAACCGACCTTCCGGAAAGGCCCGTGAGGGTGACAGCAAAAGGCTGGCCTTGGCGTGTCGTTTTGGTCTGCCAGCATATCCCTCTTAGGCTGGATGATGTCAGTGACAGGCTGGTTAGGCGAATTCTCTGCAGATCCCCAAACCTAAGGCCTCCGTGCAAGGCGAGCAAGAAGCCTCCCAACAGAATGCACAAATCGGCTGGGCAGTCGGCTTCGCACAGGCGCCTCTCCCAGGCCATGCTTCGCGCCTATCCGCGACCTTCTGGGACCGGAAGGCTGCGATGAGGCTGTCCTGCAGGATTGTTCCTAGAGGTGATAGGCCTGCCGTCCGTGACAACCACGACAGGGCCTTGAGCGCTGACTTCGGGTCGAGGCGACAAATTCCTCCTCTAGGCCTTGTTCGCATGCATGCAGGAAATCGGCTAACTGGGCTGTGGTGAGGGCTATCAGCTCGATGCAGTGAAAGGCCAGGTAGTCGATGAACTGACGGACTGAAGAGAGATAACCGCACTCCTATGCCGGCGATTGTCTTGAAGGCCATGTGCGGCCTGGCTTTGGTTCTTGGCTGGAAACGATGGGCTGCCGCGACTGCTGGCATTTTTTATGCCATCATGAGGCCGGGCGAGCTGCTGCGCATGAGGCGGCAAAGTGCTCACCCCTGTTGATCTCCTCGGGCCCAGCCATCGCTGGCTGTATCTCCGGGTCGAGAAGCCGAAAAGCCGTCGGAAGTCTGCGAAAGTTCAGCATGCCAAGCTCGATGACCTGGTTTGTCTACAGCTTGCCGCCTGGCTCTGGCAAGACCTCCCTCCCGGTGAGCTCTTGTACCCTGGGTCTCCAGCTGTCTACAGGCGTCGATGGGACGCGCTTCTTGCCAAGCTGAAGATCCCCGCCTTGGTCAAGCTGACACCTGGCTCTTCGAGGGCCGGCGGAGCCATCGCCGCCTTCCAGAAAGGGCTTTCGGTCAACGACTTGCTTTGGCGGATGAGGCTTAAAAGCCTTTCAACCTTGGAATACTATTTGCAAGAGATGTCGGCGATTTCGATTCTTCCATCCCTAGGCCAGGCAACAAGACGGAGGATATCTGCGGCTTCTCTACTCTTTCCTACCGTTGTTTCGGGCGACTTGGGCCGGTGAGGGCGCGCTTCGCGGCCTCATTGCGGCTAGTGGCTTGATCGCGCATAGATGCCGCGACTTTTGATCCAGCTCTTATTGACTGCTGGTTGTGAAAAGAAGCAGGGATACAGGAGCGCGTGCAGTCATGTCCATGAAGTCCGGTTTGGTGGTGTTCGCTTTTCAGCTGAACCGTCCACTGCGTGAACCCGACACAGATTTTGAGGCTCCTCGCAAGACTTCGAGGTCGTGAGGGCTCAGGGTTTAAAGTTGAGCGTTTATGGTTCAGGATATAGGCTTTAGCAAGGCATTCTTCAGTTGCTTCGCCGTTGTGTAGTTCGAGAGATTTTTCCAACACATCGTCAAAGCAATCTATCAAAGCCATGTATCAACGAGCCTTGGGCCCACCCTTGCATGGTGCCCCGAAGCCAGACCTAGCTAAAATGATTCTAGTGTACCGGAGCCAAAAACTGACGATATTTGTTTCCTTCGCTGGCTGGTGCTTTGTATGGACTGCCTCAAGTAAGTAAATGTCCATTAATTTGAAACAGTGGACGGGTAGGCCAAGACCTGTTTTCTATGGAACGTCACGTTGGTTGTACGATACCCTACACGACGGTCATGCTTGCGTAGTTTACGGGGATTGACGGCGAATGGTCTAACCTGTTGGTGTTTCCGAAACAGTATTTGAGGAGAACAACTCGGGCATTGCAATGCAAACTATTTTCAACGTGTAAAATATTGTTGGCATGGGCTGCAACAGTCCATGGAGCACTTTGCTGAAACCTGCCCGATATTGTCGATGTCCGTCACTGCCAGCACAAGAAACTTCGGGACATCCATGTTCCCGTGAATTGCATGCTGCCACGGCCTTGGTACGGCATGAGAGTGTTGCCGCACGTGTACAAAAGCCGGAGTTGCCGCATCGGGGGCACCCGCGAGGTCGACCAGGCACACGACCTACATTGTTTACGTTCCAATGTCCATTGTGCAGGCATGGATTGACTGGACATTTTCTATTGCCATTGCATGCATGTCGTTGCAGATGCTTTGGCCTGCAACGTTTTTCTTATTCACGAGCGCACAGGCCGGGTGTTTCGTCGTTTCGACTGCCAATGATAGCCAATGCTGGAATGCCAAGGATGCAGTCGAAGCAGCTTTGGTGGAAGGCTTGGCGCTGAAGTATACGGCATGCAAGCTGTCTTTCGTGGGGATTTGGGACATCGCACTTCTGAGTTTGCAACTGAGACCTCGAACAACCTGCAAGCGCTCCTTCCGGGATACATTCTTTAAGCCGGAAGCCTTGCGTTGGCTGTATGGTCCGGTGTCCGAAATCGCGATGCAGAGCCCGAGTAACTGTGGAATGTGGCACTTGGAATGAGGTGTTGCCTCGTCACTGCCGCCACTGACCTTGGTCGGCAAGCACTTTGACCGCGTGGTCAGGGCTGCAGATCCGACCAGCGAGGAGTGGGCCCTGAGCTTAGCACAGCAGCATTGAAAGTATGAAGCAGATGGCGGCTGCTATGGGGATTGTGTGTCTGGAGGTGGTTTTCTTCTGTGTGAGCTGGCTTGATGAGTGCCAGGACGCGGTTGCCTTCTTAGCACTGCTCTGCCTTGACGAGCGGCAATGCGCTGAGCTTGAGGGTCAATTTGACAGGACCTGCGAGACGGCTTCAGGAGCATCGCTCCTGAAAAGGGATGGTTCCGAGAGCCCTGCTCTTCGCAACCCTTCTTGGTGAATCCTCAGCCATTTTCAAAGATACTTGCTGTTTAGGGTCATGGCAAACACAGCCAGCAGAGATAGCCCAGTAGCACACGAAGCAGATTTGAGACTAGATGATTCATTCCTTGACATCTTTGTAGGCAGGAGAGCATCTTTCCTTCCGTTGCTTCCGTATGGGGTGTGGCTGTGCGAAGGACGGACTTAACATCCGACGAGACAATGGTTTCGTTCGAAAGCTTCCAAGCTGCAAGGCCTCTGCTGTGGCACCAGAAAATGGAGCGGCCTCAACAAGGACAGGGGCGTGGACTGTTGGTTGGAGGGCACTGCGTCCCTTCGCAGGACCGTCAAGGTGGGCGGTCGCTTCTTCGGCGGCCGCCCTTCCTTGGCAGAGCTACGAAAGCTCAACGTCCCAGGTGTGCCGTCGCCGCTGCCAGTCCGTGAGTTGGATGTGTGGACATGTGAGAGGCCTCGACGAGCAGGTCGGCGGACAGAAGAAGGCGAGGACAGCCCTCTACGGCTTTTGGTGTCTTTGTCGAAAGTGAGAAAAAAATCTTGGAGGCGTTTGGAGGTGATGCATCATCAGGCAGAGGCCTTCGGTCTGGAGCAAGTTGCCTCGATGTGTTGGAGAAGAGCTCCTCGGCGTAGATGGGAAGGTCGCCTTGTCAATGTTGTATGCCCTACCGGTTACCGCGACATGCAAGGATCTGTGCTCGTTGCCGTGAGATCACGGCCTTTCAATGAGCGAGAGAAAGCAGCTTCGTCGGGCGACTGCCTGTCCTTCCAGGAACGCTGTCTTTCGGCGAGGGCAATCGCAGCTGCTGCTTTTTTTCTCACATTTTAATGCTTTTTGTTGCTTCTTGCGAGGAGGAAACTGGCATGACACTCCATCGGGAGGATGACAAAGACTATCGCTTCGCCTTTGATTGTGTGATGCGCCCGGAAACAGAGCAACGTGAGGTGTATGTCCAAAGCTCAGGGCAGTTCGGAGTTGTCGCAAGTGCAGTTGGGCATTGTCCAAGTGTTGAACATCGCGAGTGATGACCGCCTCAGGACAGAACGGCGAGACCACTGCTGCACAAAGTGTTGGAAGGATCGGGCCCCGGCAAGGCAATTGAGTCACTGTCAGCACAGCCGGCACCTTTCACCCGAGGCTACAACGGATGCCTGTTCGCATATGGGCAGACCGGATCTGGCAAGACCTTCACGATGCAGGGGTCTTCCGACCAGAAAGGCATCATTCCAACTCTTTGTACCGAGCTCTTCGGCGAGATCAAGGACGGGCTTTCGCACTCTGCGTCTGCGGAGTTGATGGCCCATTTGTTGAGGAGTGCGCCGACAAGCGCAACATCACCGTTGTCTGTAGTGTGCTTGAGATTTACAACGAGAAGGTGAGGGACCTGTCGGTCGACTCCAGTGATGACCTGTCTATCCGAGAGGACACTGCAGAAGGCCTCGTCACTTGCACCACAAATCGGGTTTTAATCCGACCGGTAGGTTGCAACGGCACGGGCGGCAGCCGGTAATTACTTGCCTTGCTGCTCAACCCGAGCGAAGGGTACTGCGAGGGGTTTGTGCCGTGCCCTCGCATGGCCTTGCCGTCGAGGTGGGAAAGGCATTCATGTCGAGGGCTTGACGGAGGCCTGGAGCCGACCATGCATCGTAACTGCAAACGTGCCGCGCTGCTGTGTGGCAAGTAGTGAATAGCGGTTATGTTCTGTGAGGTGCAGGTCCGCAGCTGTGAGGAAGTCTTGGACTGCATCGCCAAGGCTCTCCGGCCTCCCTCCCCTCTTTCTCTCTGCTCTGTTTGCTCTCTTTGCTCTCTTTTGCTCTCTTTTGTTCTCCTTTGCTCTGTTTTGCTTTCTTTGCTGTCTTTTGCTCTCTTTGCTCCCTGTTCTCTCTTTTCTCTGCTCTCTTTTCACTCTCTGCTCTCTCTCTCTCTCTGTCTCCCTCTCTCTCTCTCTCCATCTCGCTCAAAATGGATTCGTTTGGTATGCAGCCAGGCCCAGCAGAGGAGGGCCGTGGGCAAGACCAACATGAATGAGCACAGCTCCAGACGCTTGGCCTAGCCTCGCATTGCCACGGATCCTCTGTTCCAATATCTGCAGCTTCCCACCTGGGTAGTTTTCTAAACTAGTGACCCTTTTAGGGTCCTTTTCATAAGGGTGCCGTACTATATTGGGGGCCCAAAAAGGGACCCACCGGGTGTCTCCAAGTTTAGCCGAGCTTGGACCTGTCTCAGCTCGTGCTTCCCAGAACTGCTTGGAGGTTCATGGGTAGTTATAAATGGGGTTATAAGTAGGGTAACTATACTTATAACTTATAGCCCGTATTAGGGGACTTATAACCCCACTTATAGCTACCCATGAACCTCCAAGTAGCGAGGATCTCACTCGGTGGTGACCCTGCGGATTGGCGCCTACGACTGCGACGACGTGGATGGGGCAACGTTTGCTGGCCGAATTAGCGCACGCACTTGTTCCGGAGTGCCAAGGGTTCTGCAGGTCCAGGTTCCAGGTACTCCCAGTACGGCACGACACAAAGATTGCACCACACAAACCGTATTTGCAAAGCAGTTTCGACGGAGTCAGTGAAGCTGTCTGCCGGGATGTACTAGGTCAATTCTCACCTTACTGCAGTTCTTGCCAGCACCTGCTTGAGGCTGACTGTTTCGAAGCTGCATTTGATTGACCTCGCGGGCAGTGAGCGGCAAAAAGCCACAGGCTGGAAGATGACTTTCCTTCCCATGGATGCCAGTGCAGGTAGAGCAGCATTGCCACAGTGGGTGTCGCGTGGGTTCGTGTGGTCTAGCATGTCGGTTCCAAGCTTACTGCCCAAGACGCTTGTGCAGGTGCCACTGGAGACCGTCTGAAAGAAGGCAGAACTTGCTGCGGCGATCTTCCACTAACTACAACGACAACTACCATTACTGCCACTACTACACTGCCACTACCACTACCACTGAGACGATCATTCTTGCTACTACGACGAAGGCGACGACTATTCCTTTACAGTACTAGTACTCGTAGTACGAGAGTAGTAGTAGTAGTAGTAGTAGTAGTAGTAGTAGTAGCAGTAGCAGTAGTAGTAGGAGTAGTAGTAGTAGTAGTAGTAGTAGTAGTAGTAGTAGTAGAGTAGTAGTAGTAGGAGTAGGAGTGGTAGTGG